GGGGTGGGGCGGGGCTGCTCCGGGATGGGGGCGGTGTGCTGTTCAAGCAGCTGCCAGCACCCCCTCCCCTCCTCACGCACTGGAAGGTCGGCCCGCTGGCGGGGATGGGGTAGGGGTTGGGGGGAGCGGAGATGTTTAGGGACCCAGGTGTTATTGGAACAGGAGGTTTTATTCGGACACTCCCTTTACTCCTACCTGCTCCAGAACATTCGATCCCTTCGCTAACAGTGCTCTTGTGCCTTCCCTGATTTCCAGTTTCCTGGAAGTGCCCAGGGCAGGACTCAATGGCTCCAAAGGAAAGGGGCGGAAACCGAAGTGAGGAGAGGCAATGTGAGCTGTTTGGCCACTTCCCAGTCTGCCCAAGATCTGCCTTCTGTTCAAAGTGTCTACACCAGCTCTCAGGCCTGCCCTCTCTCGCTTTTGATTTGGAAATCCAGAAGAAGCCACCACCATGGCCCCCCTCCACCCTTCCACGCACCAGTGGCACGCTCATGCCTGGTAGCAAGTATCCAAACGAAGGAGGTAACAGCTAGGTCTTTGATCTTCCTTAGTTTCCGCTCCCTGCTGTAGTTAACCAAACACAAGCTCTTCTTTATTTGTTTTGTCTGGAGAGGGCTCTGAGGTGAAGGAAACATCAAGGGGTTCCACCCCACCTTTGTGATTCTAGGAGAGAATACTTGGTCTGCGGGGGACTCCATGGGCCTATAAAGTTCAGTCCTGGTCTCAAGCAACCTGGACAAGGGAAAAGAAAACACAAGCTCTAAGTCAGGAGACACGTTGTCCTCTTTAAGTGAATGCTCTTTGAACCTCAGCCCTAGAATCTCTTATGTAGATGTTCAATTCTGCCCTTTTTGCCTATTCCCACAGCATATATGTCTTTTAAAGATTTTAGAAGAAAGTGAAATTAATTTTAATAATACAATATTCCATTTAGCCAATGTATCAAAGACTCTTGGTAGTACATGGTTTAAGCATTCATGTGCTAACTATAAGGTCAATGGTTCCAACCCACCAGTATCTCCACTAAAGAAAGATGTGCCAATCAACTTCCATAAAGATTACAGCCTTGGCAGTCCAGGGGCGGTCAGACCAAACCCAAGGAGGTACATGTTAATCCAACACAAAGAAGGGGAATGGGGGGAAGGGGGAGGGAGAAAAGCGGGAGGGAAGAAGCTGAGATGATGGCATGGGGGGATGTGTTAGTCTGGGTACATTAAAGAAACAAATCCACAGAAACTCGTATGTATAAGAGAAAGTTTTATATAAAGGGTAAGTGCACATCAAGAAAACATCCCAACCCAGTGCTGCCCAAGCCCACAAGTCCAACATTAACCCATTAGCCCATATGTCTAACACCAATCTACAAAGTCCTCCTCCATCTCACAAAACACACAATATGATGCCAACTGCAGGAGGAAAGCCAAATCAGTGAATTGTGTAAGCATCTCATCACTGGGTACTCCAGCCCCCAGGGCTGCATCAGGGTAGGTCCATGTGGCTTCTCCTCAGTGATGGCTTGCAGGAAGTGAGTCTTGCCAGCTGAAGCAGGAACTGGCTAAGGCAGCTGCAACCTGGTCCGACCATCACAAAGCAAGAGACCGTAGAACTTGAAAGGCAAGGCTCCTGGAGCCATTTATCCCTCCGCCCTTTAATTAACCCCACATGTGTTTATCGGCCAGGTTGGCACAATAAACTTTAACTAACAGGGGAGCTGGGCACTAACCCACCCAGGGGGAGAGTATTGGTTATGTCTCCACAGAATTGGGAAGATGCATACAGACCCCACCACAGTACACCAAACTGAGGGCAACATAACCACGTGGAGGAATGCATGAAAAGACTGAGCTACAGGGCCGGCCCCAACCAGAGCCAAACTGACCCCACCCTAGACGTATGTGCTACAGAGAACAACACTAAAACTTCAGGTAGGGAAAGGGGCGACATGTCACGCCCACATGGAAGCAAACCAAGAAGGAAAAAGAGAAAGTGACAGTCCGCCTAGACCACCTATTAGCGCGCCAAGCCCGAAAGACAATGTCCCTGCGCAGAGCTGCTAAGGCATAGAGAGGACTGCAGGGCCCACAACAACTCATGACACGTCCCCTCAGTGGAGCACACTGCGACAGAGGACCATAATGGGGACACACGGTGGGGAGGTAGTGTGGTCTGAACAGCCTACAGTAGGGCAAACCAAGAAGGGAGCTTAACAGATCAGCAGCTGGAGCAAAGCCAAACCACAAAGCCCCTAAAGAGACCTCAAAATAGACTTCAGGCTAGGAGGGGCAACTCCCAGAACTCCCCCATAACCAGGCGGGATATAGTCATAAAGGTCAGTGGACAGACCTGAAATTATGTATGTTTTTCTCTTGTTTGTTCTTTTTTCCATCTCTTGTTTTCTTATTGTTTGGTCTATGTCATTGTTGGTTTGCCTACCTGTATAAGACAGGCATGGGAAGCAAGCTTGGGGAGAAAGCCATGGGGCCAGTGGCCCTTGAGGGTCTTGTGGGGAGAAGGTGAGGGGGGGGAGTGTGGTGAAGAAACAACGCCATAGACAGGGGAACAACTAAGGAATTGAAACCAACAACAAAGAGGTTGTAGAGATCCTCAACAACAAGGAGGTTGGAGCAATAGCAACCTAGCTGAGAGGAAGTACTAAGAGGTGGAAGTAGGGGGACATTATGCTGGGGCAGGAGGAAGGCAAAAGGAAACAGAGGAAGGCTCTAGGAAGCAAAGCTATGGATAGAGGTATAAGCATAGGTGTGTACATATGTAAATACATTAATCCATAATAAACAGAGGTATTGGCCTATGTTCATATATTTAAATGGCAATACACTGAGGTTGTGGACAGACCTTGGGCCTCAGCTCATACCCTCCCTCAATACAAGAACACTTTGTTCTAACAAATTGGCATTTTGGGTTGCCCACCCCCCAATCCCTGGCACAATCGCTGAAGACAATATTGGTGCATAAGCAAATGTAAAGAAACTAGATGGTGCCTGGTTATTAAAAGACATAGTATCTGGGGTCTTCAAGGCTTGAAGTTAAACAAGTGGACATCCATCAATGAAGCAACAAGCCCACAAGGAAGAAGCACAGCAGCCAGTGCGATCATGAGGTGTCATCAGGACCGGGTAACAGGCATCAGAAGATCCATAACAAACAAACGAAAACATATTGTTGAGAATGAGGGGGGTTGAAGCAGAGACCCAAAGCCCAACTGTAGCAATGGAACATCCCCCCACAGAGGGGTCGCAGGGAAGGGATGAGTCAAACAGGGTGCAGGAAAGCACTAATGGATCACATGGTATTCCTCTTATTCCTTGAGGCTTCCTCACCCCTCTACTACCATGTGCTGCTTCTCACTCTGGACTAGACGGGAGCATGCACACAGGTATAGATAAGAGATAAAAGCTCATGGCACATGGAATTCAAGAACAGGAATGGAAATAGTGTTACCAGAAGGGTAGGGGAAGGCGGGGAGAAGAGGGGAGGAAAGAGAAACCAATTGCAATGATCGACACATAACCACAGATACCCCTCCAGGGGAAAGAACAACAAACTATGGGGGAAGGGAGACAGTGGTAATTGTGAGATATGAAAATAATAATAATTTATAATCTATCTATATGTTTGTTGCCATTGTCAAAAAACAAAGCCCCCCAAAACCCTCAATGCCATCAACTCAATGTCAACTCATAGCAACTCTATAAAACAGGGCAGACGTGCCCCTGTAAGTTTCCAAGACTAACTCTTTACTGGAGTAAAAAGTCCAATCATTCTCCTACACGGTTCTTGGTGTTTTCAAAGTGACCTGGTGGATCGCAGCCCCATGGGTAACCACTATGCTATCGGGGCCATTAAATCAATTTCCAGTCCTACCAGCTCCATGTGTGCCTATCGGCTCCACAGGTTTCCATTGCTCTGTCTTTTCAGTCATATGTGGCTAAAACCAAAACCAAAGGCAGTCATTATTTTCCTTTTTAATAAAAAATCATTTTATGGGGGTTCTTACAGCTCTTATAACAATCCATACAACAATTGTATCAAGCACATTTGTACATATGTTGCCATCATCATTTTTTGAGCATTTTCTTTCTGTTTGAGTCTTTGGTATTAGCTCCTCTTTTTTTCCCTCCTTCCCCCACCCTCCCACCCTTATGAAACCTTGATCAATTATATATTATTATTGTTCTTTTATGTCTTACTCTGTCCATTGTCCCCCTTCACCCACCTTTCTGTTGTTAGTCCCACCCCTGGGGTGCGCTATATATCCAACCTTGTAATGGCTTTCCCCTTTCTCTCTCCGCCGCCCCCCCCACCATCCCCTTACCCTCCTGTTATCGCTACTCCCACAACTGTACCTGAGGGTTTTATCTGTCCTGAATTCCATGTGTTGAGAGCTGTTATCTACCAATGTGTGTACTCCAGTCTAGCTGAATTTGTAAGGTAGAACTAAGTCTTGGTAGTGGAGGGAGAGGAAGCATTCAGGAACTAGAGGAATGATGTGTGTTTCATTGGTACTATACTGCACCCTGGTTGAATTGTCCCTTCCTTGTAACCCTTCTGTGGGGGGGTTGTCCAATCATCTACAGATGGACTTTGAGTCTCCACTCCAACCCCCTCTTTCATATTGATATAATTGTTTGTTATGGATCCTTTGATATTTGATACTTGCTCTCATAGACACCTCATAATCACACAGGCTGGTGTGCTTCTTCC